CTGTCTTTTATTTTAGTTACTTTTATTCACATATACATAGAGAAACTGTTTTAGTCATTTTAAATACTAAGGATGAGAAGAAGTTTCCTAATCTACCAAACATTTATGACTGGTAAATTTCTGCAAGAGTGAATCCAGGATCAAAATACTTGATCATAGTCCAGTGCGCCGCCTGAGCCAACGCAGCCGCCATTTTTCACAAATTCGGATTTCAACCCCATGTATATAAAACTTTATAAAATTTATATTTATCAAAGGATAAACACCAAAATTTGAGGAAATATAGTTAATAACACAATATTAAGAATTTTCATTTCCATTAAAAAAATACGGGGTAGTAATTACTTTTCCGTAGGATTTTAAATATAATATTCCAAGTTGTAACTGCAACTTTTAGGTATTGCGCCGCCTTCCTACACCAGACAATGAAATTTGTCTTTAAAATTGGAATAGTTTGTATAGGTACTCCATATCTGTCCATAAAACTATTAGATAATGTTGGTTTAATCTATATACGAAGTTTCAATAATGTATGACATAGGGTTCCTACAAAACAACGCTTGTCTGCGGAATTTTGGGACAACCCTCGTAGACGTATTTTTTTTTCAATTCTTGATGAAATCCTTTGAACCTCATAATATAAGGATATATTAATAGAATAGACAAGATGACATGGTCAAAATTGCAAAATCTCATGCGCATGCACGTGCGCTTCGCACTGATTGGCTGAAACTTAAGTCTCAATATCTTTTCTATTTGAAATTTTAAACTTAGTCATACATTAGGGAGATATACAGCCTGATGTATAAGAATTATCATGAAAGCATGCGCATGGATGTGTGTTTGCAATAGCGCGCACGTGCAACACTTGAAATGACTAATATAATGGATATAGATGTAACTTTTTTATTTTTCGATGAAATGTTTTGAAACTCATATTGTAAGAATATATAAGTAGTATAAACAAAGTGACATGGTCAAAATAGCAAGATCTCACGCGCAAACACGTGCGCTTCGCTCTGATTGGCTGAAACTAAAGTCTCAATATCTTGCTTTTTGTCATAATCCTTTGCAATTTTGAACAAAGTCACATATTAGGTAGATCTACAGCATGACATATAAGAATTATCATTAAAGCATGCGTATGCACTTGTGCTGCAATCTGATTGGCTGAAAATGAAAATGCCTTTAACTCTCTTGGTTCTCAACAAAACAGGATGAAATTTAGAATATGAATAGGTATAATGGATTTCTACTTGATGCTACTGTCAAAATCGAATGCAACGACATGCGCATGTGCAATGCGTTAAATGACAAATTTATTTGTAAAACGGTAACATTTATATTTGTATGATTTTTTATTGATTCTCGCGATTATAAGAATATGTTTATGGTTTAGACAACATACCATGATCATCTTGCATGTACATGCGCGTGCGTGCATGTGCAATGCGTTTAGTGACACATTACTGAAATCGTTATAGGGTGAATTCACCATGCATCGGATACCCTTGTACTTCAACAAGTTCTAGCGATATCGCTACCGACGGAAAATTATCAAAATGGAGTTGAACATTTAGTTTGTGATTAAAATATCAATTTTGGACACAATTATATGCCGTTTATTGAGAAAATATCCCCAAAAATCGAGTTTTTAGAAAAAACTGAAAATTCACCATGGATCGGACATTGTTCACCATGCATCGGACATACGGTATAGAGACCGGAAAAATATCATACCTTTATCACAGTGCTTTAAAATCCTTGATATGGATATATTTTTATCTTTTATCTAAGAAATAACCCCCAACTTTAATTTAATCGACGATATTATTGCACAAATGTAGAACGATTCTCGAGATCTCACTCTGCCTTAGAAATGCTTTAAAATGCTTATAATGCCGTAATTTGCGCCCTTTTCTCATGTTTTATCATACTCTGGTTTGTAGAAATAAATTGAGTAAAATTCCAGTCGTCATATATCGATAACTTGTATTTTGACTGAAAATATAGAGTTTTTTTTTTCTTTTTCCGCAAAAAACAGCTGTCAGCTGGGTTCTGTATGAAAATGGTAGTGCTTACCTTTGCATCGAGAAGTGTCCGATGCATGGTTAATTTGTGTCCGATGTACGGTGAAAATAGCATACTAGTAAAAACCCGCTCTGATAAGAATTAAACAAACATTGAAGTGAAATTTAATTATAATTTATGTAAAATTACCAATCCCTGACAAAATTCGACAAAGTCCGACTCGTTCCGTGGAAGTCGAATTTAAAAGAACGATAACTCTAAAAATTGCAAAATCATAAATTTCGGGTTATTCCCCTTTGATGATGTAACATATGACGTAACTTCAAGTCCATTTCGGGGTATTTTTATCACAACATGATAAACACAATCGGTATCATTAAAAAATTTAAATCTTCGTCTTTATGACAGAAACAAATAAATACACAGAACTCTTAAGTTGAAAGAGAGTTTATTGCCTAAAGTTGTCCGAAGCAAGGTATGTGTCCGATGCATTTTATAATTCTTTTATAAAATCCTTCGATACTGAGTATATTTTTTAAAAAGTCTTACAGAAAAATAGGACAGAAAAGGGAGTTGGGAAGCGTTTGGGGAACATCTGTAACGGTCCCCGTTACGATTAAAACTAGTTCACATCAGAGCGAGGGTATTCCTAGTGAGCATTAGCTCGCAGATTTCTTGTTTATCTTAAATTAAAGACCTACATGTATAGATGGTCCTATTTTGTAGTGCTTTATTGACTTTTGATCTAGAATACTGTTCGTTTTCTCCATATGTTTCAAACAGGTATTTTAACTAGGCTATGTGTGTGTGAGTGTGTTGGGGGGGGGGGGGGGTTGATAGAACATCAAATTTGTTATTTGGTTTTTGAAGTGTTTCATTCATAATGAAAAAAATTAAATAAAACGAAAAGTCATTGATTTCTAGAACAAAACTATGAACAACACTTAATTTGTGAATTGTGCTAAAAACAATGACCCATGAAAATTCCAGCTTTGATATCAAGTGCCTAAAGAGAGTAAACATCCCCTATTGATCGGGCACACCCTAGATGAGCCCTCTCTTTCTCTTTTTATATGCCTGGTAGACTGGACTTTCCATAGTCAAATTCAGTATTAAAAAGGGCTTAACAAGTTAGCCAAAATACAACCCTATAAAAGGTTATATTTGCTTACAAAGTCGTTATCACGACGATAGAACCTACAAAATTCTGACTTTAATTGTACAAAGTTGTTTATACCTGTACTATCAACTCATAAGTGAGTAATATGTCTCGATTTAAAAATTGTTTATACTCTGAGCAAGCTTTCAAGAAGCTAAACAAGATGGAAGACATACATGTACAATGTCATGTAAACACAATTAACAGGTTAAAATTGATTATATCTACACAAATAATGGAATTTAGCGATCAAAAAGTTGTAGTCATCTCGTTTTTAAGAATGAAAATTTAAAAGACATTACCTAAATTTTTCTATGAACATTGTTAAACTAGTAAAAATGACCCAAACCTACATGTGCCTTAAGCCTAATCTTACCTTTTTCGTTGAAAGAAACTTTAAAATTACATATTTTCGTTCGTTCAAATGTTCGTGGTTTGAGGATTTATTTCGTGGATTAAGGATTGTTGTAGCTGGTTTGTTTGTTTTTTGTTTAACGTCCCTCTCGAGAATTTTTTTACTCATATGGAGAAGTCACCACTTGCCGGTGGAAACTGCAAATTTTGTCCAATGCTCGGCCTTCAGGGCCACTGAACATTGAGAGATCTTTTTCGTGCCAGCACCTACTGCGACACGGGACCACGGTTATACGACCTCATCTGAAGGGTCAGTCTCTACGTCCCATAGTGGGATTCGAACCCGAGGCGTAATGATCAAGTCTTCACTTTGCGACTTTAGAGCTAAATCTCCAACCACTGCGCCACGCGGATAAATTTTAAAGTAGGAATATATGTTGAAAATTACATTTCACGTTAAACAATTTTTTATACTTTGAAAACTACGAAAATTAAACTAAGTGATTTCCTAGTAAGTAAAATGTGCAGAATATGGGGTAATTTACGATATTATACATGTAGCAGGACTTGCTTTGAAATTTTTCGAGTCAGGAATATATCTTAAATTGTATTGTTCACCTCTTTGTTAAATTTAAAAGCCAGTCCAATTTTATATAGATTTTTATATTATGAAGGACTGTTTTAAGAATAATTGGTACATGTACCTTAGCCGTCTGTAGAAATATGGAGAAAATGCATCATAATCTTTTTGTGATTACAGATCAGATAAGATATGTTTTATAACTAATTCAGTGTCCAAATGTGCATAAAGAGAACAAACTTAGGAAGGAAAGGCCTAAAACATAGCAAAAAGAAAAAAAAAATCATTTAGACATATTAGATATTTAAGGAATCACTGTCAAGTTAGTATAGTATACCAGGGCATCAACGATAGTGGGAAACATAGGATAATTTGCATAACGGGCAAAACTCGTTATGCGTTTCCCACTATCATTGATGTCCATGCCATACTATTATAACTAAACAGGGATTTCATATATTTCATTATGAAATAAAATTGTAGATTTATACTTCAAAATTGTAGATATAGATTTATTTAGCATAAGGACTCTCATGCCAATTTCAATAGTCCTCGCCCACTGACGTCAAACACAAAAGCAACCGCACGAGATTTGCATGCATATTTGGCCTACCTAGCATCAGACACAGAGACAGGTGAGCACGAGATTTGCATGCATATTAGGCCTACTCAGCCCCTGACCTATCGACCTGCCTAATTTACATTCCGATAGAATTATCAAGAAATCAACTCATTCAACTAACTTTCAGAGTTATCACAGATAAAAAAAAAATAGAATGGGAAATATTTACATGTAAGTTTCAAATGCAAATTCATGTGTATAGGTTCATAAACAATGAACTTGAGTAAAATAGTTTATTGTTCAAGCAAACTTACTGTCGATTCCATGCAGTATAATAAATATACTGTCCGTGCACCAAAATGCTCATCAGATGTGCATCCGTGTCGGTTGTCAAAACATGCTTATTTTCACCATTTAAACCCGAATACTCTATGCTATTCTTTAAACCATCAGTCCAATATAATCTGTTGGCTAAATATGATTGATAAATTATTTCATTTTCATTTGTTAAAATATACATTCAAATTTGTTGACTTAAGAGAATGAAATTAAAGAATCAGACTTGCTTACCGGTATAATCTATGGCAAGGCCATTCGGTCTTCCAATATTCGTTGTAGCAATATTCGTTTTGAACGTACCGTCCATATATGATCTACTTAATTCGGTTACATTTCCAATCCCTGTCGCTATCCAGAACAAAAATCTAAAAAAGACATATTAATTTTTAATAATACTGTAAGTTGTAGGCCAATAGAACTGATTTTTAGGATTACATTTAACACCTACATTCCTTACGACTGTTAAAGGCAAAAAATCAAGTTTATTGATCTCATGTAGAGACAATTATAAAGGGTTAGGGAGTGAACGGTAGTAGATTGACCAATGCTGGAGTATAGAACTTCTCTGCAACCTTGCACAGAAAATCTTGCGCCGTAAATTGCACATTATTTGCATTTTAAGGGATCTGTCGTGTTATGGGTAGAAACATAAAAACGAGGGTTGTCAAGAATGAAAAATAATCATCATTGTGTTCTGAAATTTTCCACTGGTTCAATTTTCATTAATACATATATACACGATAAATTTCGAACATAAATATGTATTAATAAACAAATTGTTAGATTCTACAGCTGTATGTTATGTAATGTATCTCTCTACATGTACGACGCATGGATATCGACAAAGTGTTTAAAGTTCTGTGGCCTCATGTTTCCTCTTTGCTAAAATAAAAATTGGATATGTCCAACATCAGTTTGGAAAGTTCATTGATACACAAACTCAAGAGTTTCCCTTTATTATTCCATAAACATCGGAGGAATCAATCTCATGGGACCTTCTGAAGATGTCTCAGTAAAATGTGGACAGAATTCTCACTATCATTTAATTAAAAAGACAATCTTATGTCGATGATCTACTGTGACAGCGTCTTTCGCCATTACCACAGCTGTTTATCCGTCTGTTTTGTTCTATACGGGGACTGGATCAAAAAAGATTTCGATATGACAGCTACCATTTCACTTATATACCAAAGATCTGGTGATATATTTATATATTGTGTCTTCTGTATACATTTTACGTCTCTAGAGTCTTTACAACATCTCAGTCAAACTAAACTGCTCTTCACTGCGCCGTAACGTCATCAAACGTCGCCATTTTGCGTGTTTTTACCACTACATTTCGAATGATGAAAAACTGTAATCACAGGAGTCTGAAGTTTTTATCGTCAAAAAAAAAAAATCCGGAAAAAAAATTTCCTACCCTTAACTAAAAAAACCCCAGGATGGCAACGTGTTTTAGGGGGACCCACCTAAACAAATAGATCTGGGCTTGGCCAGAAAAATCTCGCGACTAATTCAGTATCCGGGGCATTTGTGTTATTTATTTAATGTGAAAAATCCAATCTGCTTGACGACTACGGGCCGTTCCTAGCCCTTTTTCCACTTTGACACCTCATCCTGGACTCCATGCCAGTAAACCGGAAGAGAATCTCGCAGTGTATATTTGACGTTTATAAAAACTTGTTCAAATAAAATCAAATAAATAATTGTTCAACGTAATTTTATTCAGTTATTTTAAATATATTTAACAGAAGTTTAAAAAGTTATTTATTCTTTTTCTTACTTGTACGACGATGTGTACCAGGGACAGATAATACAGTTTTTACAAGCGCCAAATTTAAATCACTGAAAAGCCATGTCGACAAAGAGCCAAACAGTTAGACTAAGCGCCATTATAAAGCATTATTTTGTTTGAAAAATATATCTTTTTATTGATCACTTATGGTAACATAAAATTGTACATGAAGTTTTACATGCATTTTTTTTGGTTCTTTTCTTCATTTATTCACCTCGGAGTTCCCTTCCGGTTTAGTGGCATGGAGTCCAGGATGAGCTGTCAAACTGGAAAAAAGGCCATGAACAGCCCGTAGTCGTCAAGCAGATTTGATTTCTTAACTTGAATAAATAGCACAAACACTCCAGATACTGAATTAGTTGCGAGATTTTTCCGACCAAGCCCAGATCTTTTTGTTTATAGGGGTCCCCCCAAAACACGTTGCCATCCTGGGGTTTTTTTAGTTAAGGGTAGGAAAATTTTTTTCCGGATTTTTTTTTTTTTTTTTTTTTTGACGATTAAAACTTCAGACTCCTGTGCTGTAATAAACCAAAACTCAAGAATCTGTGTAAAAAATGCCTTATCCCCCCTTACATGTATGAACAGGCCAACGTATTTGATACAAAAGACTGTTCTTATATAAAAAAAAAAAATTAATGCATTTTATTGAAGCACAAAACTTAAGAGCTTTAATTGTATTTGAACAACAACTTATTTGTTAGTTTTCTCTTTTATTGTAAGCATGTTAATTTCAAAGTACAAATTGTACGTCGGGTTCGTTAACAAGATACTCTCAGTAAGAAAAATACAAAAAAATCTGATATTATGAAAAACATACATGGAGTATATAATATTTGTTGTATAGTCTTTCGATATATAAGTATAATTCGCAACTTATAGTGGTATTAATGATTTATCGTACCGCGTTGACCAGTCACTCAAAAGCTTTTTTAAGTTCATAAACACCTTTATTTTATAGTCTATTTATAGTCCCTATATAATCTATACAAACGCAGTTATAGTTCATAAACACCTATATTCCCTTGTGTGTTTGTTTTTTTTAACATCGGGCTCGATGCTATATGATGTTCTTGAGACCGGTGAATGACAAAAACAATTTTCACATTTCGCTTTTTAATCGGCTATCACAATTTATTATGTTCCCCAAACGAAGTTGGGGAACATATTGTTTTTACTCTGTTTCTTATTATTATTATTTTTCTTCTTCTTCTTCTTCTTCTTCCTGGGTACTTTTTTGTCCCGGAGTGATCTTGTAAACTACACATCCGACTTAGATAAAACCTTTTTAGGGTCAGTAGGCATGTTATGTAGATTTGCGGAATGAAGGTCATTTTGCGCGCACGTGCTTGCAAGAGCGTGCACGTGCAACACGTGAAATGACCGATTTAATTAATATAGGCGTAACTTTTTACCTTTTTGATGAAATGCTTTGAAACTCATACTGTGAGGATATATTAGTAGTATAGACATGATGACATGGTCGAAATAGCAAGATCTCACGCGCATGCACGTGCGCTTTGCTCTGATTGGCTGAAATTGAATTCTTAATATCTTTCTTGTTTTTTGACAAAATCCTTTGAAATTTTAAACATAGCCATGCATTAGGATATCCTACAACATGATATATAGCAATCATCATGAAAACACGTGCATGCACGTGCGCTGCAATCTGATTGGCTTAAACTTTAAATAGCTATAACTCCCTTGGTTTTCAACCAAACAGGATGGGATTTGGAACATAGATAGATATAATGGATTTCTACAAGAAGGTATGGTCACCATGCACATGCATACACGTGCGTGTACGTGCGCTGCAATCTGATTGGCTTAAACTTTAAAAAGCTATAACTCCCTTGGTTTTCAAACAAATGGGGTGGGATTAAGAACATAGATAGATTTAACGGACTTCTACAAGAAGGTATGGTACCATGCTCTTGTATGCACGTGCGTGCACGTGAAATGAGTAAAATCAAAAATACACTTGAATAAGCGTATTTTTAAAACTTTTGGATTAAATACTTTAATATTTATTACATGAAAATATATAGATTGTGTAGACAATATGATATGGTCATTATGCACATGCATTCACATGCGCACGCGTGCAGTGCTAAAATTTGATAGAACTTGGTACACTTCTGGGTAAACGTTGTTAAAGTCTCAAATGCATAGAATTTGTCTTATTCAATGAAGCTTACAGGGAATAGGGCACCAAAAGGGAGTTGGGGAGCGTTTGGGGAACATCTGTAACGGTCCCCGTTACAATTAGCACTAGTTTCTTTTATATCATATAAATCAAGTTTTGATTGAAAAATTCACAAATGACATTTTATGAAATAAATAAACGATTGCTTGTTGTCAGTTTCATTGAAATTTGCCAGTAGCTTAGATCCGCCAACCGGAAACGCCACCATACTCACAATAATGCTATTTCATGGTTGTTTACAGAAAATTGAAGTATACTAAATTTATTCTACGATACTGACTATCCGAGTGAAATCTAAAAATAGTTTACAGACTTCATCTTATTTATAGCGTATTGTTAGAGTAGTAAGTAAGAACTCTGGTACACCCATTTTGAAGTTTATTTGCAAAATGTATTAATTTATACATATAAGTATAGATACTTTGATTTCGAACAATATCCCTATAATTAAACCTTGGTTTTTCAACCATACGCCGAAGGACCGTGCCTTATGTACATTCAGGTATCATAAAATATCCATTCTTGTCTCAATATTTAAAAAAAAGTGTTCAGATTCACTTGAATATGATAAATAAACATTTACTGAAAATTTTTATTAAAGCAATATGAGCTTTACTTTTGAGAATTTTATTTTGTTGGTAAAATGTGTTTTTATGATCAATCTGTATAAAATCTAAAATCTTATTATCAATAAGACCAAAATAAAGTTTAAAAATGTTTCATTAGAAATATATCTATACAACCAAATATACAGTATTATATAAGAAATCATCATTGTATAGGACGACAATAATTCAATTTTGCTTCTATCAAAGCTTATAGAAAGTTCTTTCATAGCAAATTTAAACAACAGAAGTTTATAAATGTTCAGTAAATTTTTCTGTCATTGAAATAGTTAACTACAAATTTGCAACATTTTTTTCCGATGTCAAACATGCAGCTCATATTGCTTTAAGTGCGCCAATTATTGTTCGGGAAAAACGCTTTGTCCACGATTTTATCGGACAACCTTGAAGTTCGTATAAAACCATTATAACGCTTCAGTTCCCTATCAAATCTTGATAAAATTTAAGAGGGATCTCTACGACGTCACAACATGGGGTACATGTAATTCCGTTAAAAGCCATTTTGGTCCTAAATGATCTGATTTAAATTAACTTTACACCGATAAATAACCGAATATAACTCTTTGCACGTATTACCTTGCACGTATCGTCTTCTGATGAACTATTATACATACCCTTTTGATGGATATACCACGAGATCGCTTGGACTCTGAAGATTTGTCCACAAAGTTTTTTGAAGAAAACTTTTTCTATGAACAACTCCAATATAGCCTTGATTCTGTGCTGATGCCACAGCAATAAAGTAAATATTCCCCGTTGAATAGTCAATCGTCAAACGGGTAGCATGAGCAAAACCTGTAATGCAAGAAATAAAAGGCAAAGGGCCTAAAGGGGACCTGATTAAAAAATAAAGCTGTGAAGTTACCACAGGTATATTAAATTAAACAAAACAGTCATTTGAAGTTATATTTACCAAAAGAATAAAAAACAAAATAATTATTTTCGTGTAGCTATATTTTCTCGCGTTTGCTTGCCCCCAATGTTGTCAAAGTCACCAGATAAACTAAGCACTTGACAAATATACTAAGACGCTCTTAATAAACCCTTTCCATTCCCTCTCAAATTTTCCTCTCTTGGTCATTAAAAAACATAATTTATAATGCTAAAAGCTTAAGATAAAAAAAATATATATATTTACCTATTTTTTATCGTTTATTACAAGTACACATTAATCAGAAAATTAAGAAAAAAAATTTACTTTTTCTTTACTATATTTTAATGCTTCTGTATGATTATATAGATTTCTATTTAATCGACCTTAAAGTATGTGAGTTACGATATTTATTATTTACACAAAAACCCCTGACTTGGGGGCCAAGCAAAGCGCGAACAGAGAGGTTTCAGATTTAAGCTATTTCAGAATATACCCACCAAATTATCGACCTGAGACATAAACACCTGACTAACGGGCTATGAAATACATGATTGTATTACAGTAAATATGTGTTACATGTATCAGTGATTTCAGGTATTTCCTGAAATTTAGGAATTAAGAATGAAATTCCTTTACTGATTGGGAAATACATGTACACATACGTACTGATTTCAGTTAGGAAATTCATGTATTTTCTTAATTTTTCAAAACGTATTTACTGACTGTGTTTTGGTGAGATGATTTAAACAATAAAAAATAAAATATAATTTTAACAATGAATAAAGAAATATGAACAGATGAAAAATATATTCAATATTTATTTCAGTTAGTATATAACGCATGTCAATATATATACCTGGAGACAATTCGAACTCATAAATCTGTCATTTACTTTTAAAATGTTAAGAGTTACTGTGCAAATTATGCAAAAGAACTACAACGGATATTTAATTACATTTTTTCTTAGCTTGGACTGTCCAAGTCAGTTCAAAAGCCACTAACATCTTAAATAACTCTGGAGCCCGTTTCACAAAACTATCTTATAACTTTAAACATGTTAAAAGACTGAAAATTATTTAGAAGATAGCAACATGGCTATTTTATAAAGCTCTTATATCTTATCATAATATTAAAGGGACATAGACACAGTTTCAACTTAAAATTTTCAAAGTTATATTTCACATGTTTTATGTTTACAAATATTTAAGAAATAAGGTATTTCTAATAATTTGAATTTCAGTTGTCAAGATAACAAGACAAATATATAAAAAAAAATGTACTAATAGATGTTCTTCAAAGCAGATTTTTTTTTCAATATACGTGTGTAAAAATGCTGTTGTCTGATTGGACAGAAAAATAATTACATGTACATGATCTATATCTATAGCAACTTTCATTTATCGTTTTTGGCTTCCATATTTTGAAATCGTCCAAACTTGTTAATATGACTTTAAATTTATATAAGTTTTATTTATATTTTATAAAACCTACGACATCAAAGAGGATGGAAGTACCTTATAATAAGATATTCCTTAATTCTTAAATGGAATTTAAGAGATACAATGCAGTATTAGTCTTACCCAGAGTCAGAATTATTGTATAACGTCAGCTTTGTAGAAACAATTATTTGAGTGCTGCTCTTATAAATTGCATACATGGAATTTTAAAATTACTGAATGTTTTAAAGCGTGTATAGTCATTCAGCCTAATTCATAAAAAAAACTTGTAAAATTGGCTGAAATTTTCAGTAAATACATGAATTTTCTAGCTATTCAGTAATTACATGTCTTTCCTAAAAACAGCCGGGAAATACACGTACACTGTAAACATGGAATTCCTGATTTCACATATTTACTGTAACACATATTATTTTGAAAAATGCACACTTACTATGTCATATCATTTGCTACATGTATAGTTTCTGAACTAATATTAAAAACCCTAAAATACAAACATTTGCCGTAGCTAGTCATAACTATGAATTTACATGTACGTAGTTTGCTTGCTTCGTATCCAGGAAAAGATAAGATTTTTCAATAAGTTATGTATTTTTACTATTTAATCAATTGAGCCCTCCTCTCTTAAAAGCCCATTACCCTGAAACCAATTCTAGAAAAGATACCATTGCTCATCATATCTATGCACTTAATATACATGCATTTGCTTAATCTCCTGAGGCAAAAAAAGAATTGTTTTCAAAGAAATTATACATTTTACTATATATGATCAACAGCTAGGTCCTCTTTCTCACAACAGGAACCGTGACCCAAGTCAAATGATAAGCAAACCTCTGGAAGAGACATCCTTTGCAACGGAGTTTAAAGAGATTCCCCTTTAGAAGCCCTGACCCTTTTGCACCAAATTTTAAAATTTGCACGAGACACTTCTGCTGAACCATGTACATGTACCTAGTTGATCTACAGATGTACAGAGGAAAAGGATAATTGAAGTTATTTCTGAATTTTCATAATATGAACATAAGAGTCCAGTCCTGACTTCTGATTTTGTCAAAGGGTTTTGCAGAAGATTCAATTATACTCAAACCTACGGTGGCTGGTATAGGACATGGTATGAAAATTTTTTTTATTAATTCGTGGCCACGAAATAAAATTCGTGGCCACGAAATAAAAGATAAAGAATCTAGTGTATTGACAGATCGGGTTCGTAATTCAGATGTGTCCATAGACGCGCGCGCTGATCTGCAGACAAAAACTGAGAATACATGTTATTTACAATAGCCAAGGTTATGCCCAGTGCATATTTTAATGTATTTCGCACATTTATTGCAAGATGTTTCAATAAATATAGAATGTACTTGTAAGGCTTGTTTAGTCAAACACTCAACGTTTATTTATTTACCAATTAGTGGCAGAATAGACCCCTATTATCGGGAACGTGACATCTTAAAAATTAGAGCAATATTCATATATTGTCATGATTGTTTTTACATAAAATCAACTGTTTAATACAAATGAAAGTGTGTTACTTCAATAAAGGTACAAGTAATTGTTAAGGCATTGCTTGACATACAAGAGAAGAAGCTAAATATGACATTATATAGCAGAAAATTTATTTCGTGGCCACGAATTTTATTTCGTTCCCACGCATTTTATTTCGTGGCCACCAATTTTATTTCGTTCCCACGCATTTTATTTCGTGGCCACGAATTAATAAAAAAAAATCTTATACCATGTCCTATACCAGCCACCGTACAAACCAGGTCTGAGAGTAAAGAAATATTTAAAGAATGCAAAAATTTTAACGTTAAAGCCTCGCCACTACAGTCCCAGGGGATAGGGACCATGCGTGAAATCTCAACTGCCCTTCCTCTTCAGTAATATTATTGAATAGGTAATAATTATTGTTCAGCAGATCCACAGAAGGCGCTTAATATGTTCAATTGAATCCAGGTCATTTCTCCCCAGTACCTGCTCCGCCTAGGTCATTTCCTCCCATGTCATTTCTCCCCTGGGTCATTTCCCTCCCTTACCCAGGTCATTTCTCTCCACAACCTAGGTCATTTCACTCCAAAGCGAAAATCATAATATAATAAGTTTAATTTTAATTAGTTTTATTTGCTTCCATCATTATTGCATACCGGTATTATCTTCATTTTTTTTAAAATTCTGTCTTATTATTCATTTATTAATTGACACATTATTATTTATTCATTTATGAGTTCACACATTTATTGTTTTATAATATTTTTTTATTTATGAATTCATAATGTAAACTTTTATGAATTCACTCGATTACACGTATTTGTAAATTCATTTTTTAAAAAGAATTTTTCAATAGTTTAATTCATTCCTTGATTTGTTAATTTTTTAATTAATTTAATTTACACAATATTGAATAAGTTTTTTTATAAGGACAGAGACATATGATTTATTTAGTTATTTTTTTCATTCATTCTAAGACTTGCTTTCTTTTTAATAGAATATGAAACAACTTTAAATGCGATAATAGAAATATCTTCTTTTACTCTTTAATAATTAAATTCATTATCAAGTAGACTTCAAGTGAATTTGTTTATTGCCCTGTCATCTTTTGTCTATGGTCTTATCAGGAATAAATGTATAATTGTTAGAACTCGTAATTGCTGTCTTGCGGTTTTATGGTACCCTACACAGTGTTTTTATCATCATGCGGGGTACATATGTTTGTCCGTAAATAAATTGTCGATTTCACTGATTGATAACATATCTCCTTTACACTTTAGACAGAATATGACAACTTGTACAAAGATGTGTTCAGCCAGATTATTATATTAATAAGAATTTTCCCCCCACTTTTTATTACATTTAATAATAATCTCATTTACATGAACCTCCTAGCGATCACAACTTTTAGGCAAGATGACTAATCCTAAGTGTATGATTTGTCACAAATAAGTTTAGACCATTTATTTTTTTTAATTACACATGCTTTCTTCGTGTAACAGCGTACCCCCGGGCCCCTTTACACGTTATATATTCTTAAAACACAATTCAATGTACTGATGTATTAGGGATGTCAACGAATAGTCGACTATACGACTGTCAGTCGAAAGGACCGACTATCGAATAATGCGACCGACTATCGACTAAATAAAATACGATAAAAAAGAGCGATAACTCTTGATTACAAATTTATATGTTTATGAAAAAATTGTTGACAAAATTATTTTTCTGAACAAAAACTGTTGATTTTTCATTATCAATGTATAAATGCATATTAATTTAATGCTCTTCTATAATCTGATAATTGTCAATAACAATTGTTTTTCTGATAAATTATGAATCACTGTGCTGGGTTTTGTTTCTAAAATTATAATGAAAACACAGTTATTTAGTCATTACATTCCATGTATCCATAATATTGTTATTTTAGTAATGTTCAAAGGTTCACATACGGTAGCCGAGACAAGTTTTGATAATTTGATAATTACTTTAATAAAAACACGCATACTTCAAAATTGTACATAGTGTTGTAAGCTAGGGCATTTAACTGTAACAGTTTTAAAGTTACGGTAATCGCGGTATCAACAATGTCACACGGGCACCTGACGTGTAGATGCTGTGTTTATCGTATTTTATTTATATGAGTTTAAAAAATGTTTGCTGGTAGTTTTTGATGCATATTATAACTAAATAAATATAATTTCATGTAAACATAATAGCTACAAGTCAAGTGCCTGTGAATATCTGTCAAAAGCATACGTAATGCATACACCAAAGAAGGATAACTCTTGCATAGTCTATGCAAACAAAATTAAAACGGAAATCAAGAATTTTATTATGAAAAAAATGTTCCGAATAGTCGACTATCGTTCGAATAATGCAATCGAATGTTCGACTAAGGAAAATATATATTTTGACATCCCTATGATGTATATATTATTAATTTAAAATGTCCCGATTGTTACAAACATTTTCTGCATTAATTTCTCAAGCGTTCAGATGTATATGCATACATGTAATAGACTTATCATGAATGGTTCCGTAATAATTAAGCGGAGGTATTGAACAGTTTTAAGATCTAGCTAACAATTGAGAGTCGTACGTCTTTTCTCTTTCAAAAATCTAGTTCAAGTTGGTATTCTAGTTAAAATATTATTGTTTGTACTGAAAATTTATTATCTCTGGTATAATAGTGAAAACTGAACGCCACGGGTAAAACGCGTATAAAAAAATTGATGAGATTTGTTTTTAATGTAAGAATATGCAAACTTTTAGGGACAGTTGATTATTTGACATCTACTGAGAGCATCAAGATTTCAATTCCTGTACAACATTTTTTTGTACCTAATAATGTATTCTCTATTTATTTAGAACGAACATTTGCATAGTACTCGTGGATTTTCTTTGGATATCTTCAAAATATAACAATTTAAAAATATATGCTATATTTATTTGAGAAAAGAAACGTATGACAATTTCACTACACCAATTTCATAAAATACTGTGGTAAACACAGCAGTTTACATTATATTAAAAAAGGGGTTGTTCAAATAATTCTTCTTACAAAAATTCATACATGCAAGGACATTTTTAATAGTGTAATATACTAGTATTTTAAACAGCTTAAAAAACCAATTCCTGCGAAGTTGTGGAGGTGTCTATTTCAACACCGACTAAGTTCCTTTTCGAAATCTTATAATTCATGTTCTTAAGAGATATTAGTTTTTTTTTCATTTATACATTCACAGTAATTCATGAGATTTGGCTACCTTTACATATCATATAGCTTGTAAATATTGCATTTTAGGGTTTTTCATATTCATAGAATTTTTACGTTATTGTTTTATTTGCGTTCTTATTGTTTTAATAAGTTACAATTACTAGTATTCAAACTAAATATTAATAAATATTTACATACTTTTACATGTGTATCTGGTTTAATAATACACATTTTGAAGTATCCTTTGTTTTCTAAACATTATTCATATTTTTAGCTCCAGAACTGTAGCTCTCCAAAAAGAAAATATATTGACAGATCAGTCTAATCAATATATTTCTTTTCAGAGAGTTGCAGCTTTCCAGTCATAATATTTTATCAAGTATATTTTCTCCCTTTTTCTCGTAAGATCTAGTAAGTGACATACTGCGTATATTTAAACGTTTTATTTTTTCATCCCTATACTACATGTATTTGTATCGCCAAACATTATGAAATCAATCAATATAAGCAAATTTATTTATGTATAATTTTTGTAAGTTTCAAGTTTGATCATCATCTATATAATATTAAGTTTACAGACGAAATCAGCTTGGATAAAAAATGGATAATTTTAAAAACTTTATAAATTTCAACTGGGTTTAAATTCTTTCAAAATTCTAATGAGGAGGCCTCCACATGGCAAGGGCTGGAAAACGGTATCAACTGTTTTATTAAATATTTAAATTTTTTCCCTGTAAATAAGACTCCGACACACTTTCTCTTGTTCGATTTTTATGAATCTTGAAAGATATAAAAGTTAATAACACAAGAATGGAATTGTAAATAATTATATTAGACCAGATTAAAAATTGTTTGAAATGACCTATGTAGGATAGAGAAATAAACTACCGTGAAATGGCAGTAGACAGAAATAACCTGGGAGCGAAAAAGTTTTAGAGAAAAATGATCTGTCACCGTTCTATTCTTAAAGGTTTGAAGTTAATATTTTCTCATTTTTTCTGTATAATATCACGAATTATATATTTTAATAGAATTTCACACAAAAATTAATTAAAAATCTTATCTCATTTAAAAGTTATTAAAACTTTAAATTTTTTGGCGGGTTTGATTGACACATCCTTGCACTTTCACAAATTTTAACTTTATTCTTAATCCTTAGGAAAAGTGGCAATTTTGATGTGTTTTAATGAGAATTATTAAAACTTTTATCAATAAAAAAAATTTTATTCAGAGTAGAAATGTTAGAAAGCAAAACACCTTCACAAGTATCGTCATTCCGAACTAAGAGATGCGTACAGAGTTTAGCAAATCGAGCACACTCGTGTTATGTACACAGTTTTTGTAAACAAGGCTCGAGTTCTGTTATTGTTTATATTTAGAATTCACCGGGTGCGTTTAATCGTCACAGTCTGCTTACCACAACTGCACGGACTGACAATATATTGTGTGTTTTTTTTTTTTTGCTTTCGAACGTGTCTTCTCTGAATTTCCTGGCTTATAGTATTAATATTTTTCATTTATACAAAACGAGATTGCCACTTTTCTTAAGGATTAAGAATAAAATTAAATTTGTGAGAGTGCAAGGATATGTCAATCAAACCCGCCGAAAAATTTGAAATTTCAATATCTTTTAAGCGAAATAAGATTTTTAATTAATTTTTGTGTGAAATGCTATTAAAATATATAGGTCGTAATATTATAGAGAAAATATTAACTTCAAATCTGTGTCCAAGTACCTTTAAAGGATGATATGTAATGCTTTTAACGTGTTTAAGAATAGATATCAATGGATCACCTGGCAAATGTGACCTTAAAATAATGTGCGAAACCGAAATTAAATAGAAATATAACATACGAATTGAGATTTTATCTTTTAAAACTGGTCGATATTACCTGTGGCATAGATCAACGACTTGTTCTTTCCCAGAAGTGTGGTGGACATAATAGTTTTTGTTGAGAGTTCCGAGTAAAAGATTTCCATTGTTGATTTATCAAATGTAATGCCTGGTGAGTTTTGTACATTTATTGGCAGTTTAACCATGTTTCCTGTGGTGATATCAACCTGGAGGATTCGACCGTGGGAATAATCCGAAACAATAAGGAAATTTAACGAATAAACACCTATCAAAGAGAGAAAGAGGGTATAAAAATCATCTGTTAAATTCAATTCTTGTATCAATTCTATCAATTGTATCAATTAAAATTTTCGAAGGAAAAGAAATACTCACTACTTTTACAAGTCAAATTTTGATGTAGCTGTAGACCAAAATCACACTCACACACCCGGCCATTTTGAAACGGCACGCATATTTCATCGCAACCACCATTCAGTATTTGACAGCTGCCTATATTTTTTAAAGTTAAAAAAATGTATTTGATGCAGAAAATGCATAATTAAATAAATTTCAGGTCTACTGGGAACGATTCTTAGCTGAAAACTATTTGTAAAAGAATTCAAAGGCCATATTTTGTTCTTGCTATTATAAATAGAGCCCCTATATAGAGACTCCGTTTATACTTGTTATCCGTCCCACTTGGTCACAGCCATCGGGCAATACAAATCAAATGTAAACTTCATGTGGTATTATAAATGTTTGCCCCAAAAGAATTTCAGATAAAAACCTCAAGACATAAAGAATACTAACTAAAGAATAATTTCTTGGGACATTAAATTACATCTCAAATAATGTTAAAGCAGTGGTAAAAACTGAAGCATTTTTGTACCATGCTTTCGCAAAAGCGAAGATGATAATAACTTACATTCTACTGTCACTCTGTCCGTCTATCATAAAATAACTTCAACTTAGGCAATAACTTTAAATTAACAAGAGGCAGGGCTTTCGTTTTTCATATGACTTTTTATTGTACATTACTTGTGAGAAGACCTTTCCGAATATACTATGACTTTCCACGACCTTTAAGTTTGGCCTACTTTTAAAGAAAATCCAGGTCTTACTGTCCAAAAGTTATTACAAAGGTTAAAGTTTTTAAAAAGTGGGTCAAACTCTAAGGTCAAGGTGGAAAGGTCAAAAATATTTATACCAGCTGAAATTAAAGGTCATTTCAGAACAAATATATATATATACACATGTGAAATATTAAAGCCCTAGCTCCAACTATTCAAAAGTTATGGCCAAGGATCAAATGTGATACGGGCCTACAGGTAAATTTGTATACCAAAGGTATGATGTCACAGCAATGTTTTAAGAATGCATATCATATAAGTTAGTAGACTTTCTCTTTTGTTTTGGTCGGATTTATACTCTCTCTATCAGTATATATACATTGATAGTGTTTGTTATATCCATATACCGGTATTTCATATACACAGTCACGTCTCATACATATGAAAAAAAACTTGAAAAGCTATAAAAAAAACTCAATTTTTAATTAGCACTTAATGCTTTGTTAAGCATGACGTGTACTCAGATAACAAAAAAAAATCAACTTACATGTGTAAAAGAATGAAGGACCACCTATTTTTCAATGTAGATCCCTGACTGTATTGTTATAATTTGTTTTCAAGTAACTAGGCTATTGGCCTACATTTTTATGCTAGTGGACCCATAATGTTTTAGGTTATGATCAATATTTTACGTTTTTCAGGAAAGATACTTAAAGGCAAAAGAAATGCAATATCCTATTTTAAGGGGTTGGCAAATATCATATATAGGAAATAATTTTGTATACAAGAGGTCCATGAACCGTAAAAGGTCTCCTAGCCATAATATAACAACTTTTTCAACAATGGAACTTGGTTTGTATTTTGAACCAGAGGTCACTCGTAATTTTGAGAGGCACCATTGCTCGTCATAACTATACACTTAATATGCTTAGTTTGGTTACTTAATAGAACCTCTTTCGGAAAAGTCTTTGCAACAGGATTTTCTAACTTTTCAAAATGATAAATAAGCACTCGCTTATCAAGCAGTTAAAAGTACAAGGCATGTTTCCTTGTTACGTGTATTTAATGAAGTTAAGCCTGTAAAACTTGATATTGTAATAACTACGTACGAATACACATTTTCAGTCATTTGTAGAGGTACTTGTCAAGAAGAGAGCATGAAAAATCACAAAAAGAATTCTTCAAACATCGTCATTTATAGACTTATTTAACTGAACAGAATTGAGATGTACTGCTCAAGAATGATTTTATATTAAATTGACTTAAAAGATTAAGTCCACATTTCCAAAAATACAGGCAAACTAATGAGAGCTAGTTTATTAATCAAAGATACTGATCTTGACCTTTTTTGCACTAGCACGGAATTTAATCATTAAATGAATGTTTAAGAGGGTAAGTTCAGATAAACAATGTGATTCTTATCAAAAAAGTTCTCTTTTTTAACTTAAAAAGATCATAATTTTTGTGCATGACAGTCTGGCATGCAAAAAAAGGGAAATGGGGGAGGGGGGGGGGGTAACTGTCACGTGTGAAGTTAAAACCTGTTTACATTTTTATTAATTTCCTGACTAAATCGAGTTTAACAAACTGTTTTCTTTTTGAAACCATAACATAAAATATCATATTAGTTGTAGATTATTATTACTGCTTGTTGCGTTTCTTTTGCGTTCATTATTTAATGAATAAAACTCTTAAGCTTTGGATAATAGAATATAAAATTAATTGACTATTTTTGCTTAATATATTTAAAAAATAAATGTTGAAATTTAAATGGAAATAATCAGAATTTCTTTTGTATTATTATTGTACATTTTCTACAAATACGAGTAATAATATACATGTATAATTTAAAAGGGATTTTTAGTTTTAATAAAATGTGATTTTTCCATTTAGAATCCATTTTTGATATGACATGGGGTAATGAATTGAGTTTTATACCTGTAAACCATAACTCTGGGTATATTGTACTTTATTGCATTTTCATATTTGTCAAGTGTAACTCTGAGTGCACTTCATCATTGATAAATGTTAAAATCTTTGGTAAAAAAAAACTTTACTTCTTCTATCCTGTTGTACAATGGTATCAAATATGGCGATTTGTTTCGTGTTCTGTATAACATCTACGTTGAACTCCGCATAGACAGCAGACTTTTTGGCAAAATACGTCTTGTTTCCATTTATCCAACCAAAATAGTCCTGTAATGGAATACTATGATTAGTTATATTAAAAAAACGCCAACACAAAGGTTTTTAATATTGTTTTGTTTTTTGTTTGTTTGTTTTTTTTTTTTTTTTTGAAAGAGGGCTGTCCATGAAGTTTGTGAACAAATGCGAGACATTTTCTTATGGTCAAAATCTAGCATAATATGAAAGATGCCTATAGCTTTATCAAATTTTAAAAAAATGAATTCCTTTAATGATGCTTTATAATTATAGCTTGGCAAAATATTATCTTTTGGTTCATAACTTGTAGGTACATGTAAACAAGATAAAAAAGCGTTAACATAATATTATGTTGAACTGTCATCTTCAATAAAAAAAAATACGGAAACCAGTCATGAATACAGGAGTTTTTTATTCATATTCGACAAAAAACCCCGGTAATTTGTTTCTTTATAGTGTCTTCTTGTTATTGTGTTATCTTGTTATTGGTAAATGTAGAAAACATAACTTATCAATTGATTGTAAATTAGACATGTTTGATAAAATTGTCAAACCAATACTCTTATATGGGTGCGAAATATGGGGTTTTCACAATTCTAAACTGATAGAGAAATTACACCTAAAATTTTGTAAACATATTCTGAGCCTGAAAACATCAACACCAAACTTTATGGTGTATGGAGAACTTGGTAGACACCCTTTATTAATTGATATCAAAGTTAGAATGATCTCATTTTGGGGTAAACTCATCAATGCTCAGTGCTCTAAATTATCAGCAAAGCTTTTATGTGCATTGAAATTATATAAGAATCCATGGTGTGACTTTGTACAGAAAATTTTAAATGAATGTGGATTGACCTATGTCTGGTATGAAAATTCAATTAAATATATTATCATTCCATGGCTGCACTACATTTAATAGCAAGGAAACACCGTTCACGGTAGCTCAGTCGGTAGACCACTCGCTCTGTGAGGTCAGGAGGTCGTGAGTTCGCATCTCGGCCGCGACTGACCTAAGTCGATAAAACATGGGTAGCAACTGTTCCATCTGTATGCGCTCGGCACTTTGAAGTGAAATTTGCGGGTCCTTCGGATGATACCTTAAAAACCGAGGCTCCGTGTCAGCAGCAGGCGTTGGCACGATAAAGATCCCTCACTTCTCAATGGCCCTGAGTGCCGAGTGAAGGTCAAAATTTGAAGCCCTTCACCGGAAAAATTCTCGAGAGGGACGTTAAAAAAATACAATCAATCAATCAATAGCAAGGAAACATGTCATGTGCTTTTAACTGATTGATAAGCAAGTCCTAATTTATCATTCATTTCATACACTGTATCTTAATGAAACTCTAAAAATGATATTCTATTTCTTAAATATTTACATTTGAAAATGATGATCACGCCAAAAATACCCTACGCTATTTCTCGGTGATGTCATAAATGAGTGACGCCCTTTCAATGGATCAAAATGTGCCGTTGAATTCAAAAAATAAAAAAATACCACTCGTAAAATATATTAAACAGATAAACATAGAAGATAAATTGTAAATTTTGTAAATTGTAAATATAAGTAATAAGTTATCATTTTAAAACATCTCTTAGGATGTAAACACTGGTTAATGGTACGATATCGAATTTATCATAAAGCATTATGCTATTTATAACAAACAAAGAAAGCATTTTATTGTTTAAATAAATCAGAATGACTTGTCACGTCACGAGTGATTTTTTATGAAGCGCGGCTTGTGGTGTAACTTAAACCTGTTTCATATTGTTCTTACCACATATTTACTTTATCAATTAGATTTTCTTAATATTTCCAGAACTGTGCTTGATTCGGTATAATAAACAGTTTATTGCATGAATATTCTAGAGACATGACGATTTTTTGAAAAATCAAAGTTTTCATGGGCGAAGAAATCTTCATATCTCTGGATCCCTGACTATCATGCAATAAATGTATAATGATTTTCGTGTTTTTGATCATGATATGTTATTATATACATATATTTCCATTTCTAATTTTTTTCTCTGTGATAACTCTTTGAAAGTTGTCGGAGTTTATTTGTTGATAATTCTGCCGGAATGTAAATTAGGCAGGTCGATAGGTCAGGAGCTAAGGAGGCCTAATACGCATGCAAATCTCGTGCGCATCTGTATCTGTGCCTGACGCTAAGGAGGCCAAATATGCATGTAAATCTCGTGCGGCTGCCTATGTGTTTGACGTCAGTGGGCGAGGACTATTGAAATTGGCATGGAAGTCCTCGTGTGATAATAGTCTATGTCTACATTTTTAAAGTCTAAATCTACAATTTTTATTTCACAATAAAATGAAAATATAAGGAATCACTGTCTAGTTTTGAGAGTATGCCAGGGACATCAACAATAGTGGGAAACATTGGATAATTTTAGCATAACGGGCTTCGCCCGTTATGCAAATTATCCCATGTTTCCCACTATTGTTGATGCCCTGGCATACTCTCAAAACTAGACAGTGATTCCTTAAATATATACTTGAAGAAAATGAAAATAAAAGTTATATCTCGTGAAAATCCCGTATTTTTACCCCCAACAGTGGCGTAGCATCGTTTTTGAAAGTGGGGGGGGGGCAGCCAGCAGTTTTTTTTTTACTTAACTGAAAAAGTTGACATGCAAAAAAAAAAAGGAGGAAGTTGAAAGTTGCCCAAAGACGAAAATCCTATTTCGTGGGGGGGGGGGGGGGGGGGGGGGAGGAGGTGGGGGGCAGGCCCCCCTGGCCCCCCTGTTGCTACGCCCCTGCCCAAAATGTTTTAAAACGAGACCTTATTTCTTAAATATTTCATCCATTTAAGATTATTAATTTTATTAGGGTTTATATTTTCCCTTCATATATAATTAATAAATGAAGATAGAAAAAACGCACTGATAATTACTTTGATTGTAAAATAAAATAGTTTTTATCCCGGGAAATGCTAGATTTTGACAATGATATATCTATATTCCACTGCGGTTTAATATTTTTAACAACAATATTTCAGACGAACCTTATATGCAAACGCCTGTGTTGCACCGTATGTGTTGACATGGCTTTGAATATCAGATCCATTTGTCATTGAGCTTTTAATCATAGAGTTATCCAGCCAGTAAATTCTGTGGTTGGAAAACAAAGACATACCGTAAGTAATTTTACATGGTAGTTTTTATTTTTTCATGCAAAGTTTCATAATAATGGAATTTAAAGTGAAAAAATATTTGTATAGATTAATAAGGATCTTTGCAGAATGGTAGAGTTTTGAACATCTTAAAAGGTTTCAATTTCTCAATATTTTAGAAAATTATCATTGGCACCATTTGCAACAAAATAGGCCAAGATATATATACCAATCCATGAGTCCATATTTTTTGTTTGTATCGTCTATTCTAAAGAACAGAAATTGTTGAATGTAATTCCGAATAAACAGCTCCATGTATCAATGTTTGAGAAATGCCAGATGAAATTCAATTCTAAATCTTGAACTTTTGATTCATGATTGATTGATTGATTGTTTGTTGTTTTACGTCCCATTCAATCAATCAGTCATTCAAAATTTAAGATTTAGATTTAAATTTTATCTGACATTTTCAAAAGTGTAATTTTATGCAAAGATACAAAACACGTACCTGTGACTGATGACATCATATTGAAGAGAAATCGGATTATTTAGATTTGCATGGGACACGATGACTTTTGGAGAATTTCTATTCCAGTTTCCTCTTAGTATTTCCTTTTTTGAGGTTCCCGAAATCCAATATAGGTCCCTAAAATGTGTATATTAACAATGAATAACGTAGAAGCACGGTTATATTACATGATTGTTTTAATTTTCTTTTATCTCCGTAAACAGCATCAAAGGTCTACTATCCGACTGGAAAATTTGTTGCGTATCACACGTACATGTATGGTTCGATCTCTAATGAAATTTTCCCTCTTTGTTTTAATGATTTGATGTTTAAATAATCATACATGTCTTATATAATATGTTAAGTTCATATTAAAACTACACAATTGCTTCTAATTTCAATTTACATGGAAAACTTCCAATCAAGAATCGCAATCATTTACACAAAAATTGAAATAACACCAAAAATCCATGTTAAAATTATGTTGAATCTTCAACGTAGTTTCAATTTTGAAATTTCGACAAACATTCAGTGTTGAAATTATGCATCTGTAATGTTGTTTCAACCTTGAAATAACACCAAACATTCAACAATGAAAATACAATGTACGAGGGGTGATCAAAAAGTTGGCAAACTAATTGAATAACTTCCATACAAGAAACAATATTTGGTTTTAATGTTGATTATATTTTAAACTAATCCTCCCCGATTTTAATGCACATCAACCACCGTTCTGCGCATGCACGAATCACGTGATATTGGCGGTCCCGTTACCTCCTCCGTAGCGTTCTGCCACAAAAGTTGAAAGATTTTTATGAGTTTAATATTTCTTTCCATGTGAGTTAATTTTTATGACAAGAACTGTTCATTTGTCAGAAATGGTCATATCTCGGCAACAGAATAAATGGATAATAATATCCTTTCCAAAAATAAGCATGGCGACCGTTAAAACACAAATCTTCTGTCTCGGGAGAGACCTTTATTCAATGTGGATAGAGAATGGGTGCATCCTTTTTATCAAATCTAATATGTTTAAAATCTAAAGTAAACGATATCTTAGGTATTTAATACTTATATCATTGTTCAAATATCTAACTATTTTTCAAAGTGCTAATTGGAGGTCTTTGATAGCAAATTGCTTAATTAAAAATAAATATCTTTTCAAACTTGCTTTCACTGGGTAAGATGACAAGTATCACTTTTAACCATCAGCTTTCCTTCACTAAAACGATTAATCCAATCATTAATTGAATTTATAGGAACTCATTTATCTCAATAAACTGTGTACAAATTATTATATGATTCTGTAGAGGGATTTTTAAGGTATACAATAAATTGTACAGTCGTTTGTTGAACGAGTCCACTGAGACAACCATTTTCGTCACAAGTGACCAAAATAGTGACGTCATTTTCACATTGTGACGTCACAAACGAGAAGAAAAACTTTATTCAGCATATGCTATTTATAGAACCTGTGTATGACTATGTGTGTACCGAATTTCATTCTAATCTGAATTGTGGTTTTGTAGATATAGAGATAGTTTACGAACTTTTTGATCATCCCCTCGTATGTTGCATCTTCAATGTTTTTCTTCATTGGTGTAAAAAAAATTGAAGATTCAACATTGAATCAACGATGAACTATACACTGTAGTTGTTCAATGTTGTATCTCAAATTCCACATTCTTTCAAGGTTTGAACAAGTGAAAAAATGTTGCGTTCCTGCTGGGTTGTTTTGTACATATAATGAACAGTTAGGTATTTGACATAACCCAATTTCAGGCACCCTCACTTTAACTTTAACATATTCCAATGATTTTCAAAATTTTTATAGATATTGATATAAATTTTCATAAAACGTTACTTATTTGGGATACCAAAGAGAGAAAACTCTATAATTTTGGTAAAACTCTTGTGTTTTCCACAATAGAAATCAACGGAAAACGGAAAGTATTTTTAAAACATCTTTCCCCCCCGTGAAACAAAAATTCCCTTTTACAGGTAATATGGACTGCCATTTTACAAATTTATGACAAAGCTTTTTGTGTTTCACGGGGGGGGGGGGAACATATGTTTATCGACAGAAAACGAAAAAAAACCTGATTTTTCACCAGTTTTAAAGCTATTTACAATTAAATAATTGTATTTTATTAATTAACATATGTTTTATTTATTTGTGTAAAACATATGAAAAGATATGAGATACATCTTATCATATTTAAGACTATTTCAAATTATGGTGATTCTTTAAAGTTCGATTTCACTAGAAAATATCGTCTACCCCCTTTTTTCAACAGCTGGAATTAATGATAATTTACTGTCTAGCTCTGGAATTAAAATGATTAATCAATAACCATAGAACTGTTCTTTGTATTAAACAAAGATTTAATGGCCAAATTGCATTAATATTGAATTTAATGGGTGCAAAATGTAGGCAGGAATCAAGAGTTAGAGTTCGTAGTTCTTACCATACGACATTTTAAGGATATTTGATTCTCAGCCAGGAAGGATAACCCTATAATTTATAATTTAAATCATAACGTCTAAGAAAAAAAGGTTGAAATCGATATTTTCATGCAACAATTTTCATTTTATGCCCTCTCAATGTGATTCAATGTTCTTTCAAAGTATACGAAACGGACTTAAAAACAGTGATATTTGTACCTCATAAAAGTAAGAAGAAAAAATAAATATTGCATGAAATCGCAATTACTTTAATTTATCTTCAATTGTTAATGTTTATTAACAAAGATATGAAATTAGAAGTGATTAAAGATATTTTTTAATGAAAGGAAACACTTCATGCATTATAAAATGATCGAAATAAATAGGAGAAACTAAAGTACCAAATATGTACAAAAATCATTCAATTTTATATCCACAACTTTTCCACTAATAAAAATAACTTTCACAATATGAAAAGCCTTTCCGTAGCTTGTTCTTGTTACTTGAAAACTAGTGAAGACACGAGAACTTGAGTTGAGTGAAAATGTCATTTATTGACCAGATAAATGACGAAAGTGAACAAAAACACATAAATATACCATATTACATACAATCATGTAAATTATAGCTGGGATAAGGCCAAATAATGATTAGTTTCAACTTAGATATGATATATTGCGACTTAGTGCTTATCCCAGCTATTGTTATATAATGATTACCAAGTTTGTGTAACAAGAAGGTGGCGTAAACAAAGAGGCCACACGGCATGGTAAATGCTTGATGTTATACAATGAGGAAAAAATTCCATACAACAAAAATTCAAATATTGGTATTACATGGGAGGAGGATGGGGAGGTGGCGGTAAATTGATTCCAACCTCATGTTTGCGTAAAGTCAAATTAATTGAGCACTCGATCCCGATCAAGCCGAACCCGATCAAAACATGAGTTCGATCCCGATTCAGTCGACCCCACTCTTTTTACATTAAAAATCAATAACAACTGCAATTTTATTCTAAATTTGTCAAAAACAATGTAAAAAAGATTGTATATAAATCATTTTATGAGACATAAAATTGTATTTATTCAAAATCCTGAATACCAATGATTTTTATTCTGAAAATATATTTGTTGATCAATTTTTAATTAGAAAATATGCACTGGATAGTTTTTTGCATTTCCTAAAAAAAAAATATCTAATATAAATTAATTTTCTTTATATAATATCTGACATCAAAAAGATGCTTTAGTTTCTGATTGACAATATTTATGTTGTTTTTGGAGACCAGGTCTTCCAACAGTCTATTGGAATTCCATTGGGTACCAATTGCGCGCCTGTATTAACAGACCTATTTTTGTATTCATATGAGGCAGAATTTGTCCACAATCGTGTGCGTAATAAAAAAGAAAACACTTGCTGTGACCTTTAACTTCACATTTAGGTTTATCTACGACGTATTGTCAATTAACAATGGTAATTGCCATTGTTATGTCGATACGATATATCCCGATGAGCTTGAGATAAAGAATATCATAGAGTCTGACACATCTGTTACATATTTTGGATATTTTACTTGCAAAGACGTTAATGGTATTCTAACGACAAAGCTCTATGATAAACGTGATGACTTAAAATTTTCTATCGTCAACTTCCCTTACTTATCCAGCAATATACCTTCATTACATGTTTTACGTATGAACATTCAGATTCTAAAACGAGGTAAATTATTGACAAACAAGTCGATGAAACAAGAATTTCAGCAGTGTCGTTTAAAGTCATCATTTGGTAAGTTTTATGGTCGATACAATGCCCTTGTCAGCAAATACAATTTATCATTGAGTCAAATGCTGACTGACGTTTTTTCATACTTATTGCTAGTATATTATTTATACACTAAAATGACGACGCATTTTCCCGTTATTTTTCCGATCATGACAATGAGCACATGGCGGTTGTGACCGGTCGGATTGGTATGATCACTCCTCCGTGGCACCTATTCACACCTCTGATGTTTTGTAGGTCTGTATTTGCTCTGCTCCTATTTGTATTGATTAATGGAATTTTACTTGGCAAGAAAAAATTTCTCAGTACGTTTGGAAAAAAGAGCCAACCTCCCTAAGTCTGCTTAATGGTCCTGGGACCTGCAGTCCCCTCCAACCAGATGCTCGACAATGTTTCGTTTAGTAAATTCCGACCTTATATAATGTCACAGCCTAGACTGTGTCTCATGCGGTTTGAAGATCTTTGAAGAAACGGGGCAACGTTCCAAAGGTATGATCTGTATAAATTTTTCCGATAGTACAACTGCGCTCGAATCATACAAAAGTCCTGAAGGGACACGTGATTAACAAGGTAAAAACTAATTTGAGATCTCGGATTACGCGTACACAATCCGTTCCCACAGATCATGAACTCGTTCCCTCGGTTTATAATTTAGTCACATCATATAACAAATGAAAAATTCTCCTATGGGTAGTAAAATAACAATTAAATTATTTATGCTTCGTTGCAATGGAAGCGTCGAAAACGTTAAATTATTAAGCCATCACCGATGTACTCTAGCGGAAATGAAAAAAAAAACAATATTAAAAAGCAAATGATAATTCCGAGTTTATATCATTCTATAACCAAAACATTGACAGATTATGAATTTTGTCAATTTCACGATTAAAACTGATCTACATGTAGTTATAACTAATTTCGTGTTTTCAGAAAAAAAAAAAAAGCTTTGAAAAGTGCATCTTTTGATTGCTCTATTACAATTGCGCCTTATCATGGTTAAGAGAGTTTTGAATGTATCTTGTCTTCAAATTATTTCTTGAAAGTGCCTTGCCCTTCGGTTTTCCATTTTTCAAAAAATATTTTGCTTTTTAAACTTCAGCAATATGTGCTTAGATACTGAAAATATACTTGATCAACTTTCTTTAAACTTTTATTAAATCTCAAAATAGAAAAAAGCGCAGATATTCATGATTTTTTATTGTACAAAACTGGATGCAAAATATATTACAGTGCTTGATTGAAATAAGAATGAATTAAATAAATACATGTACGATGTAGATTCCTCCCCGATTGTTCTCATGATGATTTCAATTTTGTTGACAAAAAAGCTATTAAATGTGCATTTTAGAAATAAGATCTAAAATTGCAAACCAAAGCTTGTAAACAAAAATGTATTTCTAATGGCAAAAAGTATAATCTATGAGGGTTGTCCCAGAAAAATGCATATATCATAAAGTTTATACTCCTAGTATTCAAATAAACTTACCCATTATGAGCATCAACAGATAGTGATGAAGGTTGTTGAAGACCAGTGTATATGACAGAAGTCGTCCCAGAATTGATAGAAAAAGCTCGTATTCTGGACTGAGTAGGTTCAATCCAAGCAAGAAGATTAGCAATCCAGTCAAAAATCAGATCTGTCGAAAATTTTCAGCCATAGTTACATATGGTTATCAGTATAAATGAAATATGGAAATAATAAACAATATTCGAACTCAAAATCAATTAAGACGATACAAAACATGAACGTTTAATTGACCAATATGCTGCCTCTATGATGTAAACAATTAGTAAGGGGTGTACAAAACCAATACATGTATTTTCCCACTTTAACATAAGTGGTTCTGAATATGGTCTTATCAAACTCCAAGGTCAAGATCAAATAGGTTGATATGTAAAGAAAGTCACAAAGAATATACATGTAAAATTCCTAGTACTAACTATTCAATTGTTTAGACCAAGGCAAAAGTTTTTAATCGTGGGTGAAACTTTAAAGTCAAGGTCAAAAAAATATTTTTACCCTTTGAAAGGTCGTGTCACATGAATAAAACTGAGAAGTATGAAAGCCCTAGCATCATAAAAAATACTTGACCAAGGTTAAAGTTTGAAAAATGTTAAGAAAAACTGGTTTAAACTCCAAGGTCAAGAAGTCAAAGTTGGTGGTACAATTTAAAAGGTCTTGTCACATGAAATACATTTGATCTTAGAGTTTATCCACTTTAAATCCACGCCTAGTACTACGGCTTTCATAATTAACACGTGTATTCCTTGTGACAAGTCGTTCCTGTGAATTAAATGAAATGTAAATTTGAGTGACAAACAGCCTTCCAATTAATTCAAAATTCCATTGAATAATATAATAATAATTGCAGAAGACGGAAAAAAGATCAAAGTTCGGATTACGTGCCATGGAAAAGTGAGCATCCCCTGGATACTGGTCATAGCCACCGTGTGTTCCTAGTTAATATGATCGCGTAATAACGGAAAAATCCATCGAAAATTCAGTGTGTAGATAATGACCTAACAATTAGTATGAAAATTGACAGTCAGCATTTGACTGAATGATAAACTGTAAATGCTTACAAGGTCACTGTATTAACCATGGAACTTACATGTACGAAAAGATGGCTTTAAACGAGACTACTGATATTTTTGTTTCAGCAACCTGTTTTCCAATAGCATACCCCGTGTGAAAAATTGTCCATACGCAGAGCATGCTCTTGCATATCAAACGAACTGAGGGATATAAACAACGTATGAAGGTCATGAAGGTATACTGCTGCATAATTGCATAAGTGAGGGAGTTTGATGATTGAAAAGTTAAAGCCATTTCGTCTGTCATACAGCTTGGTTGTTAGATCACCATTAAAGTCTTTTTCAATTAAGTAAAATATCTTAATATGAAACGTGTGTGTCAGAATCTGTCGTATCTTTAATTTCAAGCCCACCGGAATATATAATATCGCCATTAGAATGAAAATAACAATTGTGAATTTACAATGTCATCGATATATATTAATGTCGAGTTAAAGGCCACAGCAAGTAATTTCTTCTAGAGACGTTGGTGAATAACAATTTCAACAATACCTTGCAAATCTTTACCGATCGAGTTGGATGTGGCCGGCAGACTATTCTAAGGCTTCCAAACTGAGGAGAGTAAAATGGGCATAGCTTTTTGTAAGACTGAAAAAAGTAATTGAAGTATGACACTAGCTGAGATTATTGATGGCCTGGTGTCTTCTATGATAGAATGGACATAAAAGATATTGCTAAATAATTATATAAACCGAGTAATTGATATGATTTGACAAATTTTGAGGCATTTATGATTATCAAATCTTTTCATGTTTGGACAAACAAATTCTGCTCCTTATGGATGCAAAAATAGGTCTGCTAATAACGGGAGAGAATTAGTACCCATAGGAATTCCCAAAAGTTGTTGGAAAACCTGGCCTCCAAAAACTATATAGATACTCTCTATCAAAATATCAAGCATTTTTTAAATATAAAATTTAGAGTACTTGTGTACAATAAGAATGTTTTGTTAACAAAATAAATTTGCAAATGAACAAAGAGATGGTTAGGAAATTGACGAGTTGCAATTTAATTGAAAAAGCAGCTGTCAATTAAATAAAAAAGTCTGCACTTTAATTCATCGTGAGGAATATAACGTTAAAAAATTCTAAATTTAAATGCTACTCATTTTAGTAAAAAAAATATGTGATTTCAAACTTCCAAAACTTTCTTTGAATTTTTAAGTATCAACATCTGATTTACACCACTTTTCGAATATATTGTTGCTGAGATTTATCCTTCACTATTGTTAATATCTTAATAAGGAGTACAAGGAGTTTGATAGAACATGTGCATGTATTGGAACCTGCTACATGTATGTATCTTTATTATTTGTAAGGATTTTTATGACGTTTTGGAGTCAATTATAGATATGGTAATTCAAATTCATTTTGGCTGTTTGGAATATTAAAAATATTCCAAATTGACATATGATTTTGAAGAATTTACTTCCTAGAAAGGGAGCTATGAGTATAAGTAAGATTACCAACAATTTTGAGCTTGAAGTTAAACTCCACAAAACTGCACCCTCGCTGTAAGCTGTCATGATTTTTAAGCCCTCGTACTTGAAGATTCTGGGTATATAATTTTGTTCTGTCCGTCAGTCTGTATGTCTGCGTATTTGCTTATCCGAAAAAACTTAATCTTCGACCTAACTTTTGACTTGGTGGGGCTGAGTCTCTCACTAGTATTTCAAATCGTGTGTTCCTTGTGAAAAGACCTTTCTTTGGTTAATTTTCAATTTTGAAAGTCCCCCCTTGTAATGCCTATTGTGGCCTAATACCCCACCCCACCCCCCGCCGTCATGATTTTTATGATTTAGAATCAAGATTACCCCAGAATATTTGCGCATAAGTTTCAGCTTTGCTGGGCCATTGGTTCTGGCGAAGAAGATTTCTAATGATTTTTCCTATTATATTTTTATGTAAAACTAGGATTCCCTATTGTGGCCCCGCCCTACCGCGGGGGTCATAAGTTTAACATTTTAGAATCTACACTACCGAAGGATACTTAAACACAAGTTTCAGATTTTTATGGCCAATCGGTTCCTATATATTTCTATGTAAACTAGGATTCCCTATTGTGGCCCCGCCCTATCCCTAGCCTGGGGGCTATTATTTTAACAAATTAGAATCTTCACTGTACACTACCCCAGGATGCCTCACATAAGTTCAGCTTTTCTGGGCCCTTGGTTCTTGAGAATATTTTTAAAAGATTTTTCTTATATATTTCAAAGTTAAATTTGGATTCCCTATTGTGACCCCGTTCTACCCCGAGGGATGTTTTGAATAATTTAGAATCTACACTACCCTAGGCTGTTTCCACGTAAGTTGCAACTGTGTTGCCCAGTGGTTCTTGAGAAGAATATTTCTAAAGGTTTTTCCTATATATTTCTATGTTAAACTAGGATTCCCTTTTTGGCCCCGTCCTATACGGGGGGGGGGGGGGGTCATGATTTGAACAATTTAGAATTTACACTAACCCAGTATGCTTTTAAATAAGTTTCAGCTTTTCTGGTCTAGGTATTCAATGTATAACGACCATGTTTTTCTAATAGATGAATTATCCCATAGTTTAAATCATGGTAGCATTTTGAAGTTGTTATCAAATTAAAATGCTCCACCAACGGAATTTACGAAATTTTGATTATTTATTTTCCAGTTAATTGAACTTTACATTGAAAATTATAGGCAGCAGATATTTTATTAAAATATTTTTAAAAAGTAATTTGAATTTCAAACAAATCTCAAGATGCATAAATTTCCTCTTTATTATTCTATAAATAAAATAATTTTTATACCGCAGAAATATTGAAAAATCAAGTTTTCTTCTTTTCATTAAGGGCAGATAAATCTTTAAAAACTTTTAACTTGCAAAATCACTACCTCTTTACATGTTATCTGTCTTGTGAAATTGGTTCATTTCACATTCATCGTTATCTGGCAATGCATTTTTAACTGGTTTAAATTAGGTAAAATCATTCAAAATCTTTTCATTATACATTGAATACCTTAAGAAGAAGATTTTAAATGACCCCAACCGATTTTGTTTGTTTTTTTTTTTTATCTGCCCTTGTAAGGGGACTTGGCCCTTCATTTAAACAATAAATACTTCCCATAACCCAAGAATGCTTTGTACCAAGTTTGGTTAAAATTGACCAAGTGGTTCTTCAGAAGAAGTTGAAAATGTGAAAAGTTTACTGACGGACGGACAGACAGACAGACGGACGACGGACAACGGGTGATCAAAAAAGCTCAAGTGAGCTAAAATTACCTAACTTCAAACTTTGCCATTACTTCTGAAAAGTTGGTGCTGCGGATTTCATACCGCACAAGTGTATTCATTCTGAGAAGCCGTCTTCAGTTGGTATAAATATTTTTGACTTAGACCTTAGATTTTTACCCACTTTATAAAAACTGACATGGTCATATGGTTTTAAACAGTTACATGTAATATTAGGGATTTCATATTTCACATATGTATTCTTTGTGACAAGATCTTCCCAAGGAAACAACAATGAGTTTGGGTTTCATTTAAGAAACTTCAATCCTCGCTATACATGTAAGCTGTAATACGGAGCATCAGTGTTTCACGTACACATTTTGTTTTATTAAAAATAAATTATTTCCTCAATAAATTTTTAGCAAATATATTTATAAAATAGCAAATCTGTCTGTGAGTTAGAACAGTGGAAAAAATCTATGTAGGGTTTTGATTTCACCTTCTTTGAGAACAGATTTCGAAACAAATTGTGACCGGGGGAAAGTTCTTCTGAAACAAAGGTTTATTCTTAACTGCAGAAGGCTTATGAAAAAATTACCTTTGCCACCTATTGCAGTGGCTAACGTTCTTATTTGATTATGAATCAGGTTTAATTCTTGGAGTGCATTTCGACTGCTGTCCAAGTAATATATAAGATGCATTGTGGCATCAACAGCAAATGTTTCAATAATTGCAAAAGGCACTATGACTAGAATCCTTCTCTCTCCTCCGCTAACAACCTGCACTTCCACCATTGCAAAATGTGTTCCATTGCTGATGATGAAGCCTTTTTCGTGGAAGAAGGAGCGGTCTACGAATAAATTACATGACTTCATTTTCAATATACGACTGCAATAATGCAACTAATCTTTGCACCAACTTACGATTCCAAGATTTCGATTACGATTGCAAGATTCCAAAAAATCTAGATCAAATGAGGTTAACAGGTCAGTGAAAATCCAAATACATGTATCTAAACTTAAGAAAAAGGTAAATTACGATACCTGTACAGGATCGTCCGTCTGAGGATAGAAGGTATCCCTCAGCACAGAGACATTTACCTCCCGTTGGTGTGTTAACACAGATATGCTGACAACCTCGGGAAGAACAGGGGTCTATACACCATAAAAATACGATAAAATAATAAATGTGCCATACAGAAACACATGTGTTGTTTTGAATATATTTCACTGGTAATTAAAACACAGTTACATTGTTTCTGTTCACCAAATGTTAGCTTATTGTCTTTTTGATAATAGAATTTAGAAACCATCGTTCCTCATGAACAGCCTATTTTCCTTAACAGGAAAAGCTGATTTTCGTTGTATTTATAGGAAGTACAACTGATTAATTTCTGGTAAAACTGTCATTTCATGTAACTGCCTCTGGTTTTGTAATAAATCACCCACCCATTTCTTGTAAAATTATAATTTGTTCTTATCTTTTGTTCTTTTAAGATTGCTCAGAAACATGGAACGAATTATAGCTGCTATGATTTGACACTTCAATAATAATAAAAATAATTTGTTTACATTTTAAACTGTCTATGGCCATTTTGATAGCCAGGGTGTGGTGACAAATTTCTGCTCCCTATATGCAAGATAAATTATGTTAACATGAAACATTTTTATGTACACATGCAACATATTTATGTCAACATGCAATTTAATTATTTTGCATGTTAACATAATTTATCTTGCAAGTAGGAGGTAGAAATATGCCATCATAGCAGGGAAATCAATTGAATGAGCAGCATCTATTTGATTTTAATTTATGGGTACTGTAAGATTCTTCTCTTTTCATCATTTTCATAATAATCTTTAAAAAATGTATTGAGTGCCATTATTATTATCATTAAAAATTATGCCATATAACTATGCTATCCACGCGTTACATGGTATTGAAAGAAAAAAGGTTTAAATAAAATTGACATAAAAACGTTATGTACTAGTAAAGATTAAACCAAAAAAAAAACATTTACGAAAATGTTTCAAATATTTGAATGTAGTTTGAATACTGCAATCAAATGCTCGACTAAGGAAATAAAATATTTTGACTTCCATACAAATTACGGAAGCCCGTTGAGGCCAGTCCAGGGAAAGATCTATTTTTTATTTGCGTTTAATAGTAATAATCGCGTTTAATCGCAATAATCATTGCGTTTAAACGCAAAACACTTTGCGTTTAATCACAAAAAATTGCGATTAAACGCAATCTTTTGCGATTAAACGCAATAATATTGCGATTAAAGGCAATAATTTTTGCGTTTAAACGCAGTGATATTTTTGCGTTCAATTGCAATAATTATTGCGTTTAATCGCAATAAATTTTGCGTTTAATCGCAATAATATTGCAATTGAACGCAATACTTTTGCGTTTAATCGAAATACGAGGGTCATTCAAAAAATAAGTAGACAATGCTTCTCATTGTCATATAATTATTACAAGATTATAGATCTACACATTTTCGTAAACATTTATTTTGTCAAAGTGTGAAGTTTCATTCCATTTGATTAAATAGAACTCATGTTATAGCCAAAATTTAAACCAACATGTTTTGTTACCACGGAGCACGATTAACCAACATTGCAACGTCAAAGACAACGTTGAGAAAGTTTGTCTAAATTATACTAATTTTCTTAAATCTTTTCTTAAAACACGGTTTGTAGCGTCTTCTCCATTCAAAAAACATATCCATAACACTTAACACCTAGTTTGCGAACAATTGTAAAAATACAGCTTGAATAAGAATATCATTGTTTTCAAATTCTTTAATTTACCATGTAACTCTATTAATTCTGCAACAGTTAAGCAAACATCACGTTCAATGACATTCCTAACTTTTTCGATGATTTTTTTTTAACTTTAACCTCTTTCTTTGCAGACAATCCATCGTCCGATTCAAACTCGCTACCTCTCAAAATTTGTATTTTCCTGACTAATACAAATACACAGATTATTTTTCATACAGATCCTGATTATTACGGATTTTTTAAGCTTGTAGAAGTTTCCCGAATGTAAAGTACAATTTTATTGCTACTTGCTGCTCCGTGACGTCCTCCAACGTCGTGGTTTTTTGTTTTTTTAAATCAAGTCCATATGTATTTAAAAACTGATATCTTTTAAATGGGGTGACATATTACATAACCTGATTTCATTTTAATTAATACAGCAATACTTTATTTAAACATGTAAATTTTATTTCGTCTTAGCACTATTTATTAGAGGTATGGCTGTAAATACTATAAAGTGAAAATTAGTAAATTACTCAAATGTGACGGTGCTCCGTGACCCCATTTTCGCTGTTCTAAATCCTTGGTAATTTAGATAAATATGAAAATACATTCCAATTTTTTTACTCATATTATTTGAATCTGTTGTTAAAATATTTGTACCAAATTTGGATACAATATGACGTTAAATAAAAAAGTAAGGACAAAAGTCTACGAACTTTTTGAATGACCCTCGTAATATTTCGTTTAAACGCAGTAATTTTATTTGCATTTAAACGCAATAATCTTTGTATTTAAAAACAAGTATTTCTATTGAATTTTGAAGAGTGCAATGGATCCACGCTGATATTTTTTTTGTACATTAATCTATAAGGAGAACTATGTATTGTTAAGCTTTATAGAATCAGATTTTTCTGACAAAAGCATTTTCTGAATGCGCATGTGAGTTAAGGCTATATATGGAAATTTCTATACAAAATATCAAATTAAACTCAATAATTGCTCTACCTACCGCACAGAAAATGCTAAGACTTGCTTTCTAATACATTCTTGGTACCCACGACATGCAATAGCCAGTACACATTATGACGTCATATTATGACGTCATCGACCTGTACTACATAAGTTTATAAGAAACATCAACAAAATCGCTTCGGCGCAAGGGCATACCTTACTTTGTTTTACACAAACAAGGTATCAAAAGACGCAGGATATTCCAAGGATTTAAGATATTGCTGCACAAATGTCGGCAGTGCAATTGGTTGCTTACTTTTTGTGCAGTTTTAAGTTTTAACAGGGTAAAAATTCACTGTCCAGGGTAAGTTTCTTAAAATTTTGATCAATTGAGAAAGTGCATAGGATTTGTGCAGTAATTTTATTAATTTTAAGAATATTCACCATAATATTATACATTATTTATTTTAAATTAGATAGGATAGGCCCTTGCGCCGACGCGATTTTGTTTATATGATTTAATACCTTGAATGGGAGAGAACAATGACGTCATAATATGACGTCATAATGTGCACTTGCATTAATAAACTGTGGGTACTGATTATGTATCAGAAAATCAATTTGAACCTTTTCTGTACATAAAATAAACAAATTATGAATTTTCATTTGCTTATTTACATAAAAATATCCATATTTAACCTTAACTCACTTGCGTGGTGAAATCATGGTTTGGATTTGAAGAGGAGAAAGAAGTGTCGGTCTGCAAAAACAAAGACAACCTTAGAAAGAAACAAACCCCTGCGAAATGATATTCATGATTTTAAGAACCTTTATGAGTTGTTCATAATTGTTCATGAATGGTTCTTAAAGGATTCTTAACAGGTTCATAAAAGTAGTTCATGAATTAAATTCATGAAAACATTCATAATTCATAGTTCATGAACAAATGATGAACAAATATGAATATTGTTAATTTTCAGTTTAGAGAAAAAAACTTAATAGTTCAAGGTAATGAATGTTCATGAATTTTCATGAATACTAAAAATGTAAAAATAATTGTCACAAACGATCTCCAGAAAACACTCATTACTCCCATAATACAACTTTTGCATGCAGATGCAATTGTTGAACAAGCCCCTGATTTAATTAATAACATGCTTTTGTTTTGATTTTGAAAGTACTAGAACAGAAACAAGTAGGAGAACATAAGAAGTTAAAATCACTATTTTCTACTCTCCGAATCGGTAACTTAGATTCTTCAGAATAATAAAACTCTATTATGTACTGTCTAGAAGGGAGATTGTAATTAAATTATGATCGTAATTTAAAGAATACTGCATCAATATTGACAGCCTTTTTTTCTCATATTGAATTACTAATGTTTCTTCATCATTTAAAATGGCCAGCTATATCAGGGACCTATATACTAATAGTATATAGGTCCCTGGCTATATTAATATTGTGCTTTAAATTATCTCATTTTTTCACGACACAACTTTGCTCGACCGAATTTTCTCTATTTGTCAAACTTTTAACAATTTGTAAGAAAATGAAACAGACTTACAGTCTAGGAAAATTTTCATAATCTTCGTAAAAACGTATCATAGATTTATTGACAGCTAAAAAATCATATCTCTTGTCCGTACTATTCTTGGGTCAAACGCTTTATATTTTGATGCAGTTATCAAGTCACATTTTTCTGTCTATCGTGTGTAAATGATACAGCACAGGCTGCATGGTTGTGAAGTATCTATGACATGATCCACATTCGTATTTTGTAGTCTATTCTCCTATACACTTTCATAGCTCAGGATACTCTGTTTGAGGGCGAGAGGTTCCAAAGATTTATTTGTTGTCCTCTTGATATGGAGGCGGCCATACTTGAACATACGAAACTGTGGCTCTACAGGTATAATGTAAAAAATCCAATTCAATAATTGATATAACTTATATTAATTTAAAAAAAATTAATTTCAGTGAAAAATCATTCAGATAGTGTTTGTTATTTTTTGTTTAACAACAATCTTGGCAATTCGAAACTATTTCTTAATTAGCTCTGCATGACACTTTTTAAAAGGCGCAAACTTTGAAATGCGCGAGACGTTGGAAAGTGAATCGGTAGAGTGGGAGGATTATTAGCGTAGATCTAGTCATTCTTTGTCAACCTTTGAAGAAAATAACAGAATACATGTACGAAGAAAGAACATCCAGAGGATCAATTTACCTCATAACTGCAGATATTAATGGTGAGTTACAAATAAATTGAGGCAATCGCTGTATCTGTGAGATATTTGTCAAGATGTTACTGTCTATTTGTAAGAGTTCAGTTATGTCTTTTTTAATGAAAATTTTGTCAAACTTTGTTATGATTAAGGATCCAACCAAATTACGTTACATTTAATAATTAAAGATTGAAAAATTCATCCTGT